TAGGGGTATCAGTCACCACTCTATCTGGCTTAGTTGATGAGTGAATCTTGTTTCTATTCCTCCTAGCGGTTAATGTTCTAAAGAAAAATGTTGTAATTTGGTTACCTTCTCTAAGCCATTGGAATCTAGACTTTTGCTTCAAAAAGATTTCTTCCACTTTAGCAACTTCAACATATTTTCCAAGTAATTGTCTCTCGTGTTTTGAGTAAGAGATTCAGGGGTTGCTAGTTAAGATTTCTTTGACATTGATCAAGAACTGCTTTAGCTTCTTGGGCCTTGATAGAAACATCCTCCACTTGAGTTTTGTTGATCTTTTTGAACTCAGCTTTTAGAAGCTTGAGTTTTTGTGATACTTGGAACTACTTTGTTCCATTTATAGTTTGTCCCCAAACTCTACTAATAGTGGAAAGAAAATCATCCCTCTTAGCAAGGAAATTGAAGAATCTAAAAGGACTTCTTCTATTCTTGATCTCTTTGACTATATTAACAACTGCTGGGCTATGGTTAGATATGCTTGAGGTTAGGAATTTAGCTTCAAACATGGGGAATTGGAGGTTCCAATTTTCACTGGTGAGAACTCTATCAATTTTCCTGACTAAGCAGTTTGTGTCATGTCTATTGTTACACCAAGTAAAGAAGGCTCCAGTGAACCTAAGATTAATTAGCTCAACAGCCTAAATGCATTTATTAAATTCCACCATGGTTTTGTTCCATTTCTCCCTTCCTCCCATTGTTTCTTGTTGGTTTGTGATTGCATTAAAATCCCCTAGAATAGCCCACGACTCATGGGGGATAGCCCCAGCGTGCTGGACGAGCCATAAAGGTCTCATTTCTCTTTCCTCATTTGCACCATATATAAATGAAACAAAAAAAGTAATTTTGCTCTTAAAGTGAAAAATAGAGCAATGTATCACTTGATCATTTTCTTGAATCTTTGTGACTTTGATTACTTGAGGGTCCCATTATAAAATTAAAAAAAAATTAAAATTTTGTTAAAAAGGGAAAATGGTGATTAGTCGTTACGCAAATCCAAAATTTTCAAGAACTCAAATAATGAAATGGACCTCATCATTGGATTTGTCTCACAAAATCTAGTTGTCTAGTAAATTTTCGTCGAATTTCGAGACAGTCATATTTTTTACATTTTATGATGCAATCAGGTGTCGAACGACTAAAATAAACGTGATCGAATTTAATTGCAAACCCAAAAAATAATTTAAATTTAGTTCAATAAAAATGTACTGAACTTAAAATTGGACAAGATTTAATTGATTCGGGATAAAATCGGATCAAAAAAGTCGGGACGTGTGGCTCCATGAGAGCCAAGCATTTGGAAAGTATAAATAGGGGAGAAAAATCAGATTTTGTCCTCATTTACTTTAGCAATTCCAAAAAAGAGAAAGAGTGGAAGAAAATAGAAATTCAAGAGTTCTCCCACCTTCTCCTTCCAATCTATGGCAATTCGACCGCCGGATTCTTTCAGGCCAAGAACAAAGGTTGTTCTACGCGATGAGAGTTACGCATACATACCAAAGATAACGGGTTTCACCACAATCTTGAAGACAAGATTTTGGAAATCAAGGCTTGGAAGCTAGATTTGGGTCTTTTGGAGTTTCTTCTACGTATATATACCCTACAAGAGGTAGGGTTCTTTTCCTAACTAAGTTTATTTTTAACCTAGAGTTGAAATTTGAAATGGGTAGGCTATTAGAGATGAAATCTCATGTATGACACATACCTAGGATTGTTGGAATATGAAAATGGGTATAAAAAAATGCTAAAACCAATTTTTGTATGAATGGGTTTGATGAAATTGCTTGATTTGAAATTTCATAAGGAATTGTGTTGATTTGGGCATGCTATGTGTTTACATAATATTTGTGCCTTATAGGTGTTTGATAAAATGCCTATGAATGATTAAGTGTGTTTTTTTTGGAAGGTGAATGATTAAGTGTGTTATTTGAAATGATATAACATACTTTGGGAGATTGTGGAATGTAATTATATGTTTTATGATATAATGTACATTGAGAAATTGGAAATGATTGTGGAGATGAAATGTGTTCATATTATGCTCATGATATGATGAACATGCTATTGTAATTGCAATTGAAAACTTGATTGCATAGTGATATGAAACGCAATTATTCATTACATTTGTATATCCACGAGTAGTATTGCATTCGTGGGTAACCGACATGAGTATAGGTGTGTGTGCATGGTTTTGATAAAACACCATCTTTGGCAGGTTAATACGTGGGCTCAAAAATTTTGAACCTAAGTTCAACTGAGTCACACAGGTTATATTGAAAACAAAGGCTGGAGTTAGCAAGAAGGGCTAGATTCTCCCTAGGGTGCAAGACCCGAAAATTTGAAATACGCACTCCCATTGGTATTGAGTCCATAAAGTGTGTCGGCGTAAGCGAAGCTATTAGTGGGAGTCCATAGATGTCGTGTCGGTTGGGTACCTGTTGGTGAAAGTCTATAAATACCCACTCCAAGAAAGACCCGGGATTTATAAAATAATCATTATATGTGTAACATCAATGGCGGGGCTTGGAAAGCCCGGATGCATGCGCATGACATAACATGTGTCATGGGAGTTGGTGGAGGACTCGGGTTGCATTACATTTGTGAATTTCATCTCATGACATGGCATATCATTGTGATATTCATTTGTGAATTGTATATTCTTGAATGGATGATTGATTGATGAATTACAAGTGAACATTTCATATGCATTAGGGTTGGGGAGTAGCCTCCTTAGGAGATATCCTATTGAGTGTGATTCACCCTTTATAGGGACATATTTCAGGTGATGGACAAGCGCTGGTGGACGGACCTCACTTAGGCCCTTGATAATGAAGAAGCTGGGATATGACTTTTAAATTGCATTTTGTAATTCATTATGTAATTTGTATTGGACTTGTAAAAATGTAAAAATGGTTATATAATGAACTCTTATGGACTAAAAATTGTGTAAATGAATGAATGGATGAGTATGGAAAGTGATTGGATGGTTAAAGGTTGAAAATTGGAAAGATTTGGAGAAAATCTAGGCTCAGTTACTGATACTTAGACTTACGGGTACCATTACCTAGATTCCAGTGGGCTCAGACATCAGTACTAAGGCTTTAAGGACAGGTACCCCGATGGACAGTGGGCTTAGATACCCGTACCACGACATATTGGTATCGATACCTAGCAAATAGTGGGCTCAGGTACTGATACCAAGTTACTAAGGTGCCGGTACCTGATAAATGGAAGGGATCTAGCAGATAGAAGGCTCAGGTACTGGTACCACATGTAATAGGTACCGGTACCTCTTCTAAAATTTTCAAAATTTTACATATAACTTACCCAAGCCTTTAGATCTTGAGCCCTCTTGTTGGAATGATAAAATTGGTTATACATTAAGGTCTAATTGATGGGGATGGGCCTTGGAATGATCAAGTGGTTGATGTGTGTATAGGTTAAGCATTGGGTGCTCTGGTATAAGAGAGACTCTGTCCAAACTTTGTATTGGTTATGATCCCGGTGAAGGGGATGTGATGACGTGGTGTCTGATTATATGGCATACACGGGTACTTCTGCGGGTTGATGAGTGATTAATGGGTTGAAAAAGGACCCTGAATTCTGAGGTGTCACACCCATCCAATCCAAATCCTCACTTGTGGATGACTTTGGTAATTATCCATGTGCTCCCAGTTTCTAAACATTGATCCCATAATTACTATCTTATTGACAACCTTTACTTTGGTCTCAACAATTTCCAACAAATCCAATTGTTGCTGAAAAATAAATTTTCTCAACTCCTCTTACTTGGTGGGGTCATTTAAGCCCCTAATATTCCAGCAAGAAAACTCAATCATAAAAAGATTAATGAGATGTTTCAAACTGGGAGGGTGCTATCCCAGAATCCCTTTCATTTCCCATAATAGGAAGATGCTTCTTTTGTTTCCTCTTCTTCTTTCTATTGCCTGCTTGCTCCACCGGTTCAGTATCTCTAGTTCTAAATCCAAAATTTTCACTGTCTAGGCTATTAATACCTAGACTGAGATCATCATGCTGCTCCTCTACTAGTTTATTAAATCTATTGTTGGTAGTGATAGACATACTTGCTTGTTCGTTAGCCAAATGCATACAAGATGTATAACGCAGTTACCTAATTAACATTGCTATTATTGCCCATTGCTTGTTGCTCATCTAGATGGTTTTACCTGGTTCCAATTCTCTTCATTGCCAAGCTTTTATTGTGGTTGATTATTAAAGGCGAATTTAGGGCAAGTGGACTGGTTATGTCCAAAGATTTGGCATGTTTTACATAGCCTAGGCATCCTTGGGTATTCACAACTATTTCAATGATATGCTCCATATCTCCATCCTTAGCATTGAGATCAAAGAATTCAACTAACTCTTGAGTTGCATCCAATTCCACTCATGCTCTAGCATAGTTGACCCTCTTCTTGATTTTATTCATCATATTAGCATAAAAGGGCTTGCCAACAACACTTGCTGCATAGCTCAGGCCCTCCACTGTCCAATATTCTAGGGGAAAGTTGTATAAATTCACCCAAACAAGTACTTTTGAGTGGGAGTCCTTTGTCAACTCCATCCTAGGCTGCCACTTCTTTAGAATTAAAGGTCTTCCAGAACGGATCCAAGGCCAAGCCTCAACCACTTTAGTACATTTTGCACGATTAGAGAATTTGAAGAAAAAGAATCCCTTATCATTGGCTAGGATGTCTATCAATCCGATGTGGCTCCACATCTTGTGTGCAATTGTTGTCACCGCCATGAAAGGGAGCCTTTTCTCAATAAAATAGCCAACCAGGCAATTTTCTCATTCCCCACAACCCATCTATGCAATTTCTTTTGGGGGAGAAACAACTACTCTATCGTCCTTCCTAGTTGGTTTCAGAAACTTTAGCTTCACAGAGGCCCTAGGAACTATAATGATCCAAACCATTAGAATTACCCCCATTACCTTGTTTAAGTATCTAACTCCAACTGGGATGCTGAGTAGCTCCATCTCTTGGGTTGTTTTCACCATCTTCACCCTGATTTGTTATACCAACCCCATTAGCAAGGTTGTCAACAGCCACATGGTTCTCTTTTGGTGTTTCATTGCTGAAGATGACCTTTTCACTCAATTTCTTGTTTGTTTGCACATGGGAAGCTTGATTCTCTCTCCTTGCCATCTGCTCCATAGGAGGAATTAGCAGAGAAGTCAATTTCAAGGAACCCTTGTTCTTGGCAATGGATGAGCCCCACCTTTATTTTTTTCACTAGTTCCCACAAATTTCAAATTAGCATTTGAGGATTGAGGACCTGCATTAAGCTTGCTAGCCTCCTTTATAGGGCTTGTTATGACTTATGACCACCTCCAATCATTGATAGGGAGATACCTCTTATCCATGACTACATTATGTTAGACAGTTGATCTAAAGCAAGGCTGAAAATGAGAGCTCTTTGATTAGGTGCAAGAAAAGATAGGTAAGAAAAAGCCAGTGGATGAGCTGAAAAAGACAATGGGGAGATGGTAGGCAGAGGTTGCTTTAAATGAAACGGATGAGTTGGAGCAAAAAGTAAACCACAAAGAATAGAATGATGGGAAGGTTAGTGGCTTGGGTGAGGAAAGAATACATTTCTAGATAGTGAGATTTGTTGTGGGTTAGTATCCTGAGGTAAAATGGTTGGTTGAAACATAATGGCCGCAATAAATGTTCTAGAGTGAATATATTGGGAGTAAAGAGCTAAGATGTGGGTTTTAAGAGGTTTGGGGTGAGCAAAATGGAGTTGAGATCAAGAAATGAAAAGAGGGTCTGATCTAGGGTTTTGCATTAATGCGGATGGATACTTAAGTTGGGGGATTTAATGGTCGTTTAGATCATGAGAAACAGGGGAACGGTCAGATTTGGGTTAATGCCACACAATGGTGATAGAGGAGTAACTAAAGATGGAGATGCAGGCTGATCGAATGTTTACAGAGGAAAGGAGAGGAGAATCGCCATTAATTGCAAACTGTACCCTAAAAGATGGTTCGAATCTTAATTTGTACCCCCAAAGATCAAAAATTTTAATTTGTATCATCAAAAATAGAAATTTGTATCAATGTGTACCTAAAACTAATCGCTGTCAGTTTGCTGCCTAAAACTAAATTGATAAATTATACCTAGATCCCCTTATGCTTGTCACTTAATCATTTGAAACTCTTCACAAAATAAAAGATAATATGAAATTATAATTTTTTATTAGGATAAAATCATATTTTTTAACGGTTATAAAATCCTAATAAAAATACTCTCAATCTAAAATGTCCCCCCAATTGGGCATACAAATAATTATGTTTAAGTGATATATTGTATTTGATATAAAAAAATATTAGATAAATACCTATATTCTATTGGATATTCAAATGGTAAGCTTAATTTTGAACTTTAGAGTATGTCGGACCCACAAAATAAAGGGTAATATGTAATTATAATTTTTTATTAGGATAAAATCATATTTTTTTAACGGTTATATTAACAGATATCAAAGAAAAGGGGTTTCGTGTTATACGTGCACAAATATCATGAAATGTAGGAGTAATATTTTAAATGTGAATGAGTCCACATGATTAAGTGACAAACATGATGAGATCTAGGTATAATTTATTAATTTAATTTTAGGCAACAAATTGACGGCGGTTAGTTTTAGGTGCACATTAATATAAATTTCTATCTTTGATGGTGCAAATTGAGATTTTTGATCTTTGGGGGTGCACATTGATACAAATTTCTATCTTTGAGGGTGCAAATTAAGATTTTTTATTTTTGAAGATATAAATTGAAATTCGAACGATCTTTCGGAATACAATTTGCAATTAACCCTTTTTTTTGTGCTCTTCTAAAGTTGCCAAATAAAAAGGGGTATAATCCTCATCAATTCTTGTGCGACTCTCCATGTGTACCCTATTTTTTGTATATCAGCCCATGTTAGCTTTTCTTCTCTTCATTCTCTACTCTCTAAAATGCCTATGTGTTCTATTTTCAAATCACGTATAAAAGCAATATAAATGGTTAACAGCTTTAAGTGCAAGAAGGCAAGACTTTTTTTTTTTTGGTCAAGAAGGCAAGACAATATGTCACTTTTAGGGATTGAAAGCCCTAAAGAGAGCTCCTCCTTTCTTCATCTAATAATCGGCGGAAGCCTATTAATTATTCTAGTTCTTGCTGGCAAACCGTTCCAGTAAGCAGTGCCGGGGAAGTATATAGGAAGAGACAAATATGCTTTAAAGGTTACTGTGAAATAATCAAACAAAGCTTTCGTAGTGAGCTCGTCATGAATGCCAAAGAGAATGGTGCATGAAAAAGTGATTGTGAGTTTCTTCATGAAAATCACGGTTGCAAGAGTGTCTTTGTCCTTGGTCTCTCTTAGCAACAAATTGTTGACCAAATCATCCATCTGTTTGACATAGTTTTGAAGGCTTTCGGCCTTCAAAAAGCTTAACATTGCTCCATTTATTAACTTGTACTTCCATGTAAGTATAATTCACCAGTAAATTTAATCATTTATAGCATTGTATACCAATATATGTTGATGCATATATTAGTATGATTGCCTTGTATTCTATTCCGATTCTTATCTGTTTTGTCACACCCTGAATTTCCACAAACCCGGGGAGTGAGTGAAAATGGAAAAGAAAAATAAATGAAAGGTCATTAGGTTGGATAAATTGGTTTCTCATTCATTTCTCATGTTTTTCCAAAGTTTTTCAAACCACTTTTCTTCCATTTTTAGCTTATTTCTTCAAGGTTTCTAAACCCCCTTTTGACATCCTTCCCACCTATTTAAAAGGTGTTTTACAGACTTAACAAGTCTTTTAATTTTTCATAAAATTTTGACATAACCTCCTTTGTTTTCAAGCCTTTTTTCCACCTAATATTCACAATATTTCATATGCATTATTATATCACAACCCACCCTCACTCGGTGGCCACAACCCATGTAAATTAAACATACATCTCTTATTCTCAACATATACATCAAATTGCCCCCAATATACACATATGATACTTATTAAATAAAGACATCTCAAATATCAATTGAGTTTACACTCTTACACATTAAAATGGTCCAAGACTTTTAATCCACTACTTTTTCAAACTAGAATACAAGTCATTTGTACTTATGTCCATACATACAAAATATGCCCAATGACTAAATATACATTCAAGTCCCTTTCCTTTCCTTCCTCTAAGACTTCCTCAAGTCTCAAGTACTGGGAGCCTCATCTGTAATATGATATCCCACGAATGGGTCAGCTTAACTACTGGTATGACAAAAGGCTAATGCTAGGAACAAATTTAAGGCGTGACATGTACAAGTGTACATTTTAAAAACTACAACCCCATAATCCCTCAATGCTATGCAATGACAATATGCATGACACACCCATGCAACTCTATGCCACCCATGTCTCGCTTCACGGTCTGTCCCCGTCAGCCCGTGAGTATTGTCATTGGCTAGATTTTAGATTTTAGATTTTTCACCACAGGATCTACACCCTCATAATGCATAGCACCAAGTGCTCAACCCACACTATGTTCCAAGGATTCATGTATGCCAAGATGCTATGATTTTTTTCAATATAAATTCTATGAAACATTTCATCAAACACTTTATCTATATGAATGTGAAGTACCATTCAATGGATTAAACATATGATCAAGCTTCATATTCCTATGAAACATTTCATCAAACACTTTATTTACATAAATGTGAAGCACAATTCAATGGATTTAAACATATGATCAAACTTCATATTCATTACTTTTCAATTTCTCAAACAAACTACAAATACACAAACTATCAACTCATGTAATAAATCATAACTTTTAAACCACAAAAGTTTCTCTACATGAACATAAGTTATAATATAATAATCCAACACATAAGCAATATACACCTTCACCATAGCAACAAATTGTCAAGAAACTCAAAGAATATAGAAGTACTTAAACCAAAAATTCTAAATTTTCAAAACAACTACCAATTAAATGGTTTTCCAACATCAAGTAAACATCTAAATCATTCAATCAACACATAGGAAGACAAGAAAACTTAAATCTATTCTCAACTTAGTAAAATATCATACCTAAAATAGTTTTTCTCAAACCAAGAGAGTTGTGTTCTCTTTATAGCCAAACTGATCGGTGAGAATGTAGCCCTTGTTGAGAGGAAAAACTTCTTAGAAGGAAGTCTTGCAAAAATCTTGGGTTAGGAGTGAGTTTTGGTGGCTTGAAGCTTCAAGAACCTAGGGTTTTTCTTTCCTTTTCCTCCAAAAACGTGTACCAACCTTTCTTAGCCCAAAAACTGATATTTTTACACTAAGGGGGCTGTATTTATAGTGGAGGGATAAAGGTGCAAAATGACTCTTTTAGCCTTGATGAATCCGGGACACCGTTACACTACAACTTGTCCCGAAACGCCTCAATTAGACATTTTATTTTAACCAAAATTCTTAAAATTATTTTAAATAAAAATTTTCAAAAAAATATATTTCGCTAGTGGCCGAATTTGGCCGGTTCCACCTAGGCCGCCCGGGATATCCTTTTGTTTAATTTTTAAAACTATTTTTTTTAGGCTCAAATTTGTACAGTAGGTGTATTTTAATATTCTAAAAATATTTCTCTTCTATGACATACTCAAAGTATGCTCATAAACATGACTTATACCTAAATGATGCATATGTAGTGCCCTATCGACAAATGATGTATGAATAGTGCCCTACCGGCAAAACTGAAAAATTTATCCTTAATTTTCAAATCTCTACATGTCTGATGGAGTATGTTAATGCATATATTGGGATCTGACATGAATAGAAGATTGATGATTCTCTGGATTAAAATAAGGGTGACTTAGTCATCCTCTTGATTTTTGTTTCTAAAAACTCTTTGTGATCATTGAAAATCAGTCTTGCTATTGACGTTTGCGTTGGTAAGATTTCATTTAATTTCTCCACATTTTGAGAAACTGTTGTATTCAATTCTATGAAGGATTCACGTTTACACTTTCTTATCATGGATGCACGCTTCGAGTACAACTATGCAAATGTGTATGCTCTATTTTTTTCTATGGGTGCCCAACCCACAAAAATGTATTTTCACCCCATTTAATCTCTTATTATCAAACTATTAAGTTCACCCCTTCTATACTCACCCATTAGCAACTAAACTTACCCCATGCTGTACACACCTAATTAATAACTAAGTTCCCTCATTTTATTAGTAACAAAGACGAAACAAGAAAAAAAAACCTAATAGTTACTGCAACAAACGAAACAAGAAAAAAAAATGAAAGAAGACAATTAGAGGCCGCAGGTGATACCAAAACACTAATATGAATGCATACATATATATAAACACAAATATAAATTCAAAATAAAATATTATTAAACTTAACAGAGTTACCAAAATATACCAAATAATGAAAATTCACACAACATACATAAAATCAAACATAGAATTAAATCGAGAAGTAATACAAACATGTATCTTATTGGAACAATTCATATTGAAATAATATTTTTTTTTGAGTGTAAAAGATGAGATAGTCAATAAAACCCTAATTATGAGAAAAATATAAGGTAAGCTTACTTATTACTTATTAAAGGACTGTGTATAACATGAGGTAAACTTAATTGTTAATGAGGTGGGTATAGAATGAGTGAGCTTAGTAGTTTAATAATAAGAGATTAAATGGGGGGTGAGAATAGCCTTACCCTTTTTCTATTTTGTTTTGCCACTTAATATATATTAGTTGATGAACATGTGAGTTGCACGTGAATTATTTAAGTAAAAGTTTTGATTTTTGTTAAACAGTTTGATTCAATTCAATATTTCAATTTTATAGGATACTAAATAGTCTGCAACTTAAAAAATTTAGCATTCAACACTTAAAATTCAACATTCAATTTCATGTATTCATCTTTCAGTTATATCAAATACCACCAAAGTATGTAGTAGAATTGCCTCAATACGAAAACTCTGGTGAATGTGAAACAGACTCAAAACAAAAATATCACATCAGGTATTACCATAACTAAATAGGAGTTTGAGAATGGGGATGAAGGAAAGACACATCAATGTAAAATTTTAAAGTTAAAAAATGAAGGAACTCTTTACGCAGCGCAGCTTGCCTTAGATGCGAGTCACAAAATTTTTCAAAAGAAGGGTCCAACATAGCATAAAAACCCAATTAAATGAGGATAAATATAGTAAACTATTCTAATTTGCAATCTTGTGATTTGGAAAATTTTATTTCAAGAGTAAATTTAACTTCTATTCTAGTTAATGGTCTGGTACTTTTCGTAGGTTCTTAGTAATACCAAAGGGGATTATTTTGTTGTTAATTCCTATCATCGAATATTCTTCTTTGCCATGAAAAAACATCCAAGCAGATTCGAACCAGGGACCAAGATAGCTTGCAAAAATAGGGCCTTATTTGGATTAATAGAAATTTACTCATTGAAAATGAAAATAATTGACAAGGAAAATTTCAAGAGTTGAATACCCACAATTTTTTTTTTTTGGGGAGGGGGGACTTGAACCCTTAATCTCAAAAAAGCAAAGCCTTCACAAGGTAAGGAATACCATTGGACCAAAGGCCTGTTGATCGAAATTAGCCAAATTGCCCATCAACTATGGTTTCCAACGAGATATAAACAACATAACAACCAATTCTCACGTGCTGATTCAAAGGCTAATTTTCTTGGTTGGAGTTCTTTGTTCAGTAGGTTAGGGCCTCTGAGCAGCGCCATGCTGATGGCTTCATTAACATAGATAAATGTGCTTATGATCTTTTCAATGCTACTCAAGTTGTAGAAATTTACTTTCTCTAACGTAAGAATACGATTACTTTCTCTAACGTAAGAATACGATTGATTTGGAAACCATATTATATTGCAAATTCTTTACTTCAGTGAGTAGTTTCCAAAAGAGGAAATGAATTCTTCTGGTGGGAGGCGAAACATCTGTTGATACTCTTCTCTCCTCAATGATTAATGAGTTTATATCAAAAAATTTCCAAAATCACTCCTAAGGATTCACTAAAGTCACTTTCCCACGACTAAAGCAACTACTAAAGCCAATGTTTCAGAATTAGTTTAGACTGCATTGCAAACAAGACCGAGAGTGAGAGAAAGTGAAGCCAGACTTGTCTTAGTAATGGCTTTTATTGAGAAAGAGGGCTTGCAATTTTCTTGATAAGCAAAATATTATAAGCTTCTCTCTTTCAAATCAACCTCGTCCCTACTTCATAGTCATTGATAGGCTAACTCATTTTAGGCAACCCCCCTAATCCCTACTTCATAGTCATTGATAGGACCTGATACCACGTCTTCAACTTATCCAAAATTACAGATACACTATGGGATAAGAGGTCGAGATCATACAAAGAATCCATGGCACAAGAGCTACCTGCACACTCGAAAAACATATTAACCATGTACC